CGTCGCTGCACCTGTTCCACCATCTTATTCGAATTGTTGACCCTTGCAGCACTCAGGTCAGCCTCATATATGACACCACAGATTTTCAGACTCCCAGTCTGACACTGCACGACATCACAACCCCATTCTAATCTCTCTGCCAATTCTCCCAGCCTCATTATTATTGACTTCTCCAGATTTACCTTCACGCTAGTAGCTCTCCCAAACATGTGTACAACTTCCCCCAAAAGTCCTAACCGTGTCTCTTCACTCACCAGAATAGTAGTATCATCAACATAGCCCACCAAACCAGGCCAAGGCTTCTGCTCACCATCATCCCCCCCAGTCCTTAGAGTCTTAGACGATCCTCCACCATCCTATAAAAAGGATCCTGAACACATGCAAACAATGGTTGTGATAATGGACATCCCTGCTGAAGACCCCGCTCCATGTTGACTCCTTCCCCCACACACCCATTGATTTGCACCCTTACCTTCGCTCCTGAGTACAACGTATCCACCCACTCCACTATTTCTTCACCAAACCCCTGTCTGAGGAGAATATCCCTCAAAGCCCTTCTTTCCACCCTGTCATAAGCCCCTTGCCAATCCAATGCCAACAACGCCCCTCTTCCCCTTTCCATGTCCTCCAGGAACCCCTTTATGATCCCGTGGCCCTCGACCATTGACCTACCTGGCAACCCAAACTGAGACTCAAACACAACCCTCCCCACAACACATTTAAGCCTATTCCCAAGAATTTTCGCAAACAGTTTACAATCAGCACAAAGCAACGAAATGGCTCGGTAATCCCAAAGGGTACTCTGCTTTTTACCCTTTGGGACCAACACCACCACCGCCGTTGCCTGCGATTTTCCCATCTTACCTCCATCTTTCATGGCATTCATTAACCTTACTAGGAAACCCCTTAGCAGACCCCAGTGTTGTACATAAAATTCGCTTGGTAAACCATCTATCCTGGGTGCCTTTCCCTTCCTCATGTCCATAAGGGGTCTCCATATTTCCTCCTCCTCAATGACCCCACCCAGTGCCTCCTGATCACTCCTCCCCAGTTTGCACGGCACAAACTCACATACCTGCCCAAGAACCTCACCATCCACCCCACTACTTTTCTCGTATTCCTCAAACCATCTATCAGCATACGCACTCATCCCTGTTGTTTCCCATAATACCTGACCCTCTCTAAAAACCCCCACCGAAGAAATGACTTGCAATCCCGGTATTGTAGTCGTTTGCTGTCTTACCTTCTGTCCTCACAGCACACATGCCGATGGCTTGTCGCCCCAGAGTACTTCGTCCAACCCTGCTTGTACCCGTACCACTGCAAAACGCTCTTCTTGCAAAGTCCTTATCCTGTCCTTCAAAATTTGTATATCCTCAACTGGGTAAACCCCGGCCACCGCCCCCCCCCCCCCGTAGCAATCCCGTAATCTAGATTCAAAATAATTTGACAAACCATACCGCAATTGATTAATCCATTTGCCCTCCCTCACATAGAATTGACGTATTTTTACCTTAGCTACACTATCCCACCATCCAACCACATCCTCCTCAGTCCGTCGCTCTGCACAGAGCTGTTCCCAAAATACTTCAAAACCTTCCACTCCCTCCTCATCCCCCAAAACCATCATATTCAGTTTCCAATAGCTCCCCATCCTACTAGCCAAAGCTTCCCACCCCACCTCCACTGTTACCACCCTATGATCGGATGATACCATCTCAATAGTATTAAAAGACTCTACCAAAACCCTCTGAGATAAATATATCCTGTCCAAACGAGCGGCGTATCCCTGCCTTATAAAAGTATGTTCCACCTCCCACAACCTCCCCGAAAAGCATCACGTAACTGAAGATCTCTAAGCAGACCCCCTAAGACTGAGGAAAAATATCCCACTCCTCTGGGTTCCACATCTGCCCTCTTAACTACACAATTTCAATCCCCCCCACAATCGCCACAGATAGTAACGTGCGTAGGAAGTACACAAGTTCCTCCCACACAAAATCCATCTTCACTTTAACGTCACTTTCTGCTGGGGCATACACACACACAAACACCACTCTCTCCCCCATCCACCATCCTTCCACACGTAATACTCTCCCCCTCCCCCCCTCTTTCCTGTGCAATACAAATGGGCTCGCCTCCCTGATCAACACACCCACTCCTCCTTTTAAACGCTCAGATGGCAACACATAAGCCTGGAACCCAGGCACCACTAATTCACGACCAAGTTTAAAATTATGTTCCTGTACAAAAGCCACGTCAACATTGTATCTATTCAAAAACATCCGGAAGCACTCACGTTTTACACCATTACACAGACCATTAATATTTATAGTTACACACCTGAGGCCGGTTTAAGGTTTCCCTCCCCGCCTCATTTCAAGACTCTTCCATTTCTTACCATTCCCCTGGGCAGTGCCTTTGCCACATACTCCACCCTCTTTCCCAACCATCACCCCCCTTTCTGTTGTGGCCCTCTCTTAGAGTCACTCTGGGTACCATAACCCCATGCCTTTTTCCCAGGCCTTTGCGCGGGTGTCAGAACATCGTCTGAATCTGATGCCGCTGCCCTTTTCCTCGTTGCTCCCGCGTTGTCTCCATATCTGTGTCCTGGGAGTCCTCACAATGGACTTTCACCTCTACCTCCCTGAAGTCGCCTCCATGTCCCTCCATGTCACTTGCACTGTCCACCACAGGTGTCACCTGGTCCTCCCTCCTCCCGCACACACCTCCTTCCGCCAGGATCCTAGGTTCCTGCTCACTGCGACTCTCCACCTCCGTAGACTGTAACATAGCCTGTAACACCGTCTCCAACTCCTCCTCAATAGCTTTCACTTCTGTGCCCACTCGCACCTCCTCACTCGACAACTGTACTGTCAATGGACTGGGTGATTCATGAATCACCACGTCCCCTTCAGATTCCACAGGAGAAGCCACCACCTCTTCACTCCTCATGCGACCATGCCCTCCTCCTCGCCTTCGTTCTTCCTCAGGCATCGATGTCTCATGCGCCGGTGCTCTGCCTCTTGCCGGCCCAGGAGCCATATTCCGCTTGCCACAATCCGCCGCCATATGGTCATATTCGCCACACAGTCGGCACATATGCCTCTGCCCAGCATACGCCACCATTACCTGGGTTTTAAACTCCTCGAGATATACATACGAGGGTATAGGATGTAGCAGCGTCATCTTGAGATTGAAAGTACCTCCAGGAAATCCAGCATACGCTTCTTTTACCCATTTTCCAGGTTGGGCTAGATGTACAGTCCCATATCTTTCAAAAACACTTCTGATATCTACTTCATCAGCCTCAAAAGGCACGTTGCAGAGCTTGACCCACAAATAATGTCTTGATACATCCGTCAACCTTACCCTTACTGCCGGTGTTACATTAATGCTGACATCTTGATAACGATCCACCAATGCCTCATACACTTGAGCTGTTAGCACTTTCACGAAGATTCTATAACACCATTTAGTGCTAATCCATATAAATCCTCGTCTCTGATGCCGTATGTTTCTCTTATAATTTTGGGCAATAGTACCTCGACTGATGTAGGCGTTAAAGCCCCACTAATGAGTTCAATGCCCACAGTATTCACTCTCCAGCGCACACCTAGCGCCATATTGTTTTCCGAATAGCTCGTCTGGGTAAACAGTAGAGGGGTGCAAAGCACTACCGCACTCTACCTCATCCAGGCAGCGAATGTGTGGTCTGTATTTAGTCTGTCAGCGGAGGATGTATTCACTCGTGTGTGTGTACTCACCTATTTGTACTCACCTATTTGTGGTTGCAGGGGTCGAGTCTTAGCTCCTGGCCCCGCCTCTTCACCGGTTGCTACTGGGCCCTCTCTCTCCCCGCTCCATGAGCTTTATCAAACCTCGTCTTAAAACTGTGTATGGTTCCTGCCTCCACTACGTCATTTTCTAGGCTATTCCACTGCCTTACAACTCTATGACTGAAGAAATACTTCCTACTATCTCTCTGACTCATTTGTGTCTTCAACTTCCAATTGTGGCCTCTTGTTTCTGTGTCCCCTCCCTGGAACATCCTGTCTTTGTCCACCTTGTCTATTCCACGCAGTATTTTATATGTCGTTATCATGTCTCCCCTGACCCTCCTGTCCTCCAGTGTCGTCAGGCCGATTTCCCTTAATCTTTCTTCATAGGACATTCCCCTTAGCTCTGGAACTAACCTTGTCGCAAACCTTTGTACTTTCTCTAGTTTCTTGACGTGCTTTATCAAGTGCGGGTTCCAAACAGGTGCTGCATACTCCAGTATGGGCCTGACATACACGGTGTACAGTGTCTTGAATGATTCCTTACTAAGGTATCGGAATGCTGTTCTCAGGTTTGCCAGGCGCCCATATGCTGCAGCAGTTATCTCATTGATGCGTGCTTCTGGAGACATGCTCGGTGTTATACTCACCCCAAGATCTTTCTCCTTGAGTGAGGTTTGCAGTCTTTGGCCACCTAGCCTATACTCTGTCTGTGGTCTTCTGTGCCCTTACCCTATCTTCATGACTTTGCATTTGGCAGGATTAAATTCGAGAAGCCATTTGCTGGACCAGGTGTCCAGTCTGTCCAGGTCTCTTTGAAGTCCTGCCTGGTCCTCATCAGATTTAATTCTCCTCATTAACTTCACATCATCTGCAAACAGGGACACTTCTGAGTCTAACCCTTCCATCATGTCGTTCACATATACCAAAAATAGCACTGGTCCTAGGACCGACCCCTGTGGGACCCCGCTCGTCACAGGTGCCCACTGTGATACATCATTACGTACCATGACTCGTTGTTGCCTCCCTGTCAGGTATTCTCTGATCCATTGCAGTGCCCTTCCTGTTATATGCGCCTGATGTGTGTGTGTGTGTGTGTGTGTGTGTGTGTGTGTGTGTGTGTGTGTGTGTGTGTGTGTGTGTGTGTGTGTGTGTGTGTGTGTGTGTGTGTGTGTTTAGTGTATATCAACAGAAAAGTCATCCAGCTGCGTGTGCTTTCAG